ATATTAATATCTATATCTATATATTAATAGGCAAGCATGTTTCTTTAAAACCTTTTTTCTCAGCTCGTGTGCATCGCAGAGAAAATCCACGCATACCGTTAGAAAGATATTTTCCTGTAGAAGTGCAGAATACCTTTAAAAATTAAAATAGGCTCAAATATAAGCACAAAAAATGGATTTGAAATTAAAAAAAAATAACATGGGCTTTATGCGTTGCCATGTTGGCGACGAAATAACAACAAAATATAAACAGAAAATCAAAACGAATGGAAGAAATTACAATCACATGTTTTATTTACAGCGTGGGGTGAAAATAGAGAAGCCTGTACCCTTACATTCCATTCCCATGTTAAAGTTGTCACCAGTTTTTTTTATTAAATTCGTCGTGGTTGATGTTAGCCACCAACAGATTGCGCTGATCTAAATGACTTATTTCTGTCGAATACAAAATGTTTCTTACCAAGTCAAATTAATGGAATGACTTATTATGAGCTATAGCAACTGTTGTGACCCAGCAACTATGCCAGTAAAAAAATAAGGTACAAAATAGAGCTTTAGCCACTAGTGCAATCTGTGACTGGCTCACACAAGTACATTCTTTTTTAGTAAAAAAATTGCCGACAGCTGATCCATATAGATGGGATGTCTTCTTCTGTATCCAATAGTCAATGGTTTAACTTACTTATTCTCCATAAGAATAATATGGGAATTTTATTTTACAGATTTTTGGAATTTTCTCCGTAACTATTATGCGCATAATAACGCTTCTATATACTAAATTATTTATTTTTTTAAGCTCTACAAAATGGTTTGGAAAGAAATTGCTAAATTTTAAGTTTTTAGGGTCAAGAATAGGAAAAACCAATTTTTAACTCATAAAACCCCCAATAAACCTCTGTTCCCATAGTTCGATCATGCTGGTTCGCGAACTCGTTCGAATAAACGTAGGTTTACACGTTTGTACTAAATTTCATCAAAATCGGATGATTTTTGCTCGTGTTATCGCGCTAACGGACACACACACACACACATATATATATATGAATTTGAACGAATGGTGTTTTTGGCCTCTAGGCGAAAAAGTAAATCGGTCCCGGGTCCAGGTCTTACCATGAGTACTACGGTAATAGCTTATTCCCTATGTGGGAAATTCGCTAAAAACTAATATATTATTGCTTTGACATTTAATCTAACAGCAAACCCACCTTAAACCAAATATAACGCACAATCTTAAGTAAAAATATTTCTTCTTAATATTACAAACAAAATAAACAAAGTACAGTAATTTCCTTTATAGGAAATAACCTGAGCCGTTCAGAAATCTCCACTGACGCGTCGTTCTGAGTGCTACACGAGCAAAACAGTGCACTTTAGAAAAAAAATCTTGAAACGAAAAATTAAATTTGATTCATAACCTACAACTTTGCCGCAGGTCAAAAGACTCTGACCAAAATATAAAAAAGTTTCCAGCGACCTTTCGGTTTTATGTCATGATTTCGGTAGTGTTGTTTTTAAATAGTGAAATAAATTATAAATTATTTACAAAATGGAAAATAAACTATAGCATTATCGTGAGGATAAAGCAGTTGGCAAGTATGTAAAGTTTCAAAGTTTAATACAATGGCTAAATGTGCCAATCCTTGGTTTTATTGGAGCGCGTAAATTACATACGCAAAATATAATGGTAGAGAACACATTTCCTGAAGCTTTAAAATAACTTCATTACTTTTCATGATAAATACGTAATTTCCTTTTTATAATGAAAAATTAAATTATAAATCGCGGGGGTCAACTAGTATTACATACACTTAGTGAGATTAAACATTGTAATTTTGCTGTTATACGAGATATAAAATCCATTTTACTAACACGTGTATTGAGACTTTATTGATTTAATATATGTATGCAGGTTCAGCTAAAAAAGAATAATAAATACGTCTAAAATAAAAAAAATCAAACATACCTGTAAGTTTTGCTGTTGGCCAAACTTGGCAAACAGCGTTATGTATAGCGGATTCGAAGTCCACGACGATGTTTTCCGGAGACAGCACCACTCCATGTTCACAGCACAATTCCAATAATTTACTAAAAAACGCAGAATAAGTTTTGGTTTCTTTGTCCGGTAACAAACTGAAGACTAAGGGTACGTAGTTACCATTTTCCACAATGTGCACCGTAAACATCTGAGTGAAAAAACGGACACTGTAAGAAAAAGTTCCATCCATGAAAATTGTTTTACTTTTAGCCAGATAATCCAAATTTTTTTTCGTTGAAAAAATTATAATATTAGATTTTTTGTCATTGCTCATGAGCATGTTCTCTTTCTCATTACTTTCGATCTTCAGGCACTCCAGCGCTTCGTGGACGTCACGCCTTTCTTTTGGTAGAGGTGGATATTCTTGCCGCTTTCTGTGGTATAAATTATGCTTTATACGGCACACATCGTACCGGGTTAGCTTAGTTTGTATATCTGGAGGAGCACTTACAATTTCTCGCCTAACGATTTTTGCCGGCATATCTAGTAAATCGCCCTCAGCTTTTCTTTTTACACTATTAGACACGAACTGTCGATGCAAAATTTCACTCGCAGGGTGGTTATGGTCCCCAACAGGCAACGTGTCGTTCGTAGAGTTGATGTATATTCTTGCCGTACAACCCCTCTTACAACATCTCCACTTTTGTCCCTGAGTCGTTAAACGGCTTTTATAAAACTTATAATGACTAAATATTAATAACTCCCGCCCCCTCTCACTAAACATCTTAACCGTATCACACGGCGCACTACTCATACCTTCGGAAACAGATCACACCAGCTCTAGTCTGAAACTGAAACTGACTAGAAAGGGAAGTGTATATTGGCACAACAGGTAAATGAGTCATGTACGAACAATGGGGATGGAATGTGGTGACGCTACCAAAAGAACCATCTCGCTGGACATTCCCACCTCCCCCTTTGGAAATACGCTGTAAATCCCCAAAATATTCGCGCCCAACAAGAAACCTTTACAAAAGCAGCTTCGTTATAATAAGAATATAGCTTATCATGTTATCGTAAATACTATGCTAGAATTTTCTGTGCACATATATATGTGTATTTTTTACAATGTCAGTAGTAAGTTTATTTTTTGACGTTTGGATTAATTTAATCAAAACTTTTCAATATATTTCAACTAATTTAATAAGTTTTTATCAATTTAATCATGGTGTTGCACAATGTGATATAGGCTAATTAAAAACTGACCGTGAGTGCAGTTCCAGTACCCCCAGAAAGGCTCAAAGTGACCGTGAGTGCAGTTCCATAGTTGGATTAGGACCAGGGACTGACCGTGAGTGCAGTTCGAGCCCTCCCTCCCGGTCAAGGTCGATCTTCTTGGCGCGGAGAATACCCTGGATATAATGTGACACACAGGTCCAATTGTCCTCACCCTCCGTCATAATCGGTATGACCGTGTCCACCGACAGCAGTCCTACTAACTGTGAAAAATCATGAAAAACCATTAGCCAGTTAGCATATTACAGTATATTTTTAACTATCCAAATCTTTAGAAATGAATTAAGAATATGATTATGAATTTCTTTTACGATTTAATTTCCACTCAAATAACAACTTTTAAACAATTACGAACCTTTCGTTTTAATAAAATGGTACCAACGAACGTTAAATTTAACTTAAGTTAAATTTCTTTAGACAAATGATTATTTAACTAATACAATTTCATTTTAACACATACTACCTTAGAGATAAAATTTAAGAGGTTCAGTAAAAGTAGTAGAACAACAAATGTCACGTATAGTTTGGTGTTGGTCGTAGAGGGTCGGTAATAGATTGGCTAAGGCTAAAAATAATGATTTTTAATTCAATTCAGCTGGACTACGCCCCTGATTTCAACTTTCCTTCCGCAGCATGGCTACACTGCTAGGTAAATGCAGTGATGTATAGTCAGTATGTTGTAACGAAATTTCCCGTTCGAGCCCGTTTAAGTTTTAAACTGTTTGAGTTTTCTCCGTAACCATTAGGCGCATAACAATGCTTCAATATACTAAATAATTTGTTTTAAAGCTCTCCAAAATAGTTTGGAAAGAAATTGCAAAATGTTATGTTGTCACTGCTTTTTATGGATTGCCATATTGGTAATGGAAAGGTTAACAAAAGAATCAAAGCATCTGCAGTTTGTTTAGGAAAATTAACGCAGTTTTTCATTTCCTCATTTCCGATGTAAGTTCTGGAGAACGTAAAATTGTTATTTGGGTTGATCTGTTTTAACACTAAGCTAGCAAGTTAAATGAAAAAGCTATTTACTATATCGTTATATATTTCTATTTCATATAAATTTATGATTGAAAAAACTTTGGATGGATATCATAATCATCCTCAAGCAAAATTTGGCCTAGGTAGCAAGTCTTAACTACCTTCTTCCACGAAAAAAAAACAGTATAATAATACAAGTTTGACAAAATGTCAGATTATTTTAAAGCCTTCAAACAACAGAACACAATTTATATACACATGATAGTTGGGATAGCATTGCCAAATTTGAAGGAGACTGCAAGCGCGGTGAATAGAAGTCGTTCGGAGTTAAGAAAAAGAACGACTCTCCATTACATATGCATCCGGACTCAACCGAGCTGTTCAGCAAGAGCTGTTCACCTTCAATTTGAATCTCCCGCTCTTTGTCGATCTGTTTTGCTTGTCGACATTTTGCGTGTCGATAAAGTGGGAAAATTTACACAACCGTCCCACATAACAGACATCCCACATAACCAACATCCCACTTTACAGACATCCCATATTACCGACACTGTCGACATTTTGAGTTGTCGACAAAGTGGGACTATTTCAGTGTCGATCTTTTGGGATGTCGATAAACTGGGACCCCACGATCGTGTCGCCTCAAGAGAAGAGATTAACCACTAGAGATATGACGTCACTACACCTTTAGCCTTAGTCCCTTCCGTGTGCCCATTCCCATTCCGTAGTCCGGTTGTCTGAAGTGACGTCTCTAACCTCTAAAATAGCAACTCTTCAAAGGGATTTAAATTCTAAGCAGTTTCCTACATTTACAATTAAAATTCATAGTATTAAAATGATTTAAAATTCCAGTTCCTATTTCTTAGGATCACAAGTGTGTTTAGCTAAACATTCAAACAACATGTATTCGAAGATGACATGTTTTAAAAAGTGTTTGTGAGATAATAGGCTCGGCGATTTCATAACTAAAAATATCGTGGACTGAATTTTAAATTGTGTGTATATAAATTTATTACCTACCAAAGTATTTCAAGATGTTTGAGATAACAGATGTGCAAAGTAAGTAAGCCTATTCCTATTATAACTTAAAGGTATTAATTAATTAGGACTAGGCCTAAGTTCACTGCTTATTAAACTTTACTGAACGTCAAAGAAAATGGTCAGGCCTATTTAAATATTTGTAATACAATTCACACTGCTTCTCTATTTAAAATAACTGCAGGTTGATGGTTTAAGCTCAAGTTAAACTCTTGTCATTCCGAAACCATAAAATCCTGAAAATTGGAAAACAGACAAAATATAAGACAATATAGGCCTAATAGGCTATTGCCTAGACATAAATTATTGTCATTCGACTGAAAAAATATGCCTTACAGTACTTTGTACATCTAGGACTTTTTAACATATCAACTCTGAGGCTCACCGACTGTCAATAGTGTGTACACAGGGGAGTTGCGACGCCGTTAAACCTGTTGACATATTCTCTACCGAGAGTCAGTAGACTACATATAGGAGTGTGTTGGCTGGTAGTGAACCTGTTAACAGATTTACTACTGAGTGTCAGTAAGTAGACTACACAGATACTTAAATCTGTAGCTCTGTAAACATCCACACACACACATAGGAGGCTACATGTAGGGATACACATAACTTAGGTACCTACCTTACACACACGACACTCAAAGACATTGAAAACCAATTTTTTGGGTTCTACTGGGCCCCAAATGGTAAGCTAATAAGTTACCCCAGCAGAAGCGCGGATATTTCCTCCCGAAACCTAAACTTGGTTTTGAAATTTTGACAATAAATAATAGGTACATATTATAAAGACAGTTTTTGTTAATTCTGTAGAGGTCGTACCCTATTTGTTTCTTGTTATTTCAGTCATTTAAAACCTAGTTTAACCAAATAATACAATCTAAATATAAACAATAACTCATCTCCTAGTTATGTAACCAAACAGTAGGCCTAAAGCACACATCTTCAAATTATCTTGTTTTAGTATTAATATTGATGTTAGAAAACATTAGCGATCCGACCCATAGAAATATAATATTCTCATCCCCAAAGTACTGGTAAGAAAATAGATTAATTTGAAACAAGGATGAGTAAAACAATTACAGACTCATTTTACATCTAAATCTGCAGGATCTGCGATGAAACAAAGAATAATCAGGTATAACAATAGGTCAATAACGTCAGCGACCTGAGCATCAGCAATAAAAAAACGGAAGAAGATTGTTGTCACAACAGTGCAGCACAATAACCTTGATATCCATTGTTAAAGTAAAGACATAACTTAAGAAAATTTTTGTGCAACATAGGTAACAGTTTAGGCCTATTTACTTTTATTTTTAAATTTCATCCAATGCTTCAAGTTTAAATCTATGGTGTGATAGGGACTGTTAGCGACCTGATAAAAACGGCTTTTAAATATTGTTTTAATATTAATACACGATAAACCCTTTCATAAATTGTACCTACCTATTTATTGTGTCTTTTACATGGAACAATAAAATTACCTTAAACTGCATTTTGTCTTTCCTCCTTTCTTCTTTGAAGTCTAACTGTATTTTAAAACAAAATGTCTTAGCATAGCAATTAAATAATTTTGAGGGGCATTTTTCAAGTAGCCTAATGGATGTTTGCTGTTTGTGGGTGTAGATAGCTCTGTAGTTTGTGTGCATGCTGCAGTGAGGCAGCTTTTACTTACTAACATCATTTGTCAACAGAATGTCATCATTTGCAGCTCTGTAGCTGACATATGTACGCCTCGCTGTAGGCCTATATCAATATTTTGTTTTTAACTATTGAATCTCCTGCCACATGTGAGATAAGGTCAGTGATGTGTTTTTTGATTGCAAGAAACATCCTGCTGACATTTATCATCAGATGACTGAAGTTTATGACACTAATGAAATGGGTGAGGGTTACTTACCCAATACAAGGGGGGTCTTACTTAAAAATGCCCCTCGTATAGGCCTACATATAATACATTATACATACATATCATTTAGGATGCAAATAGGGTACCTATATAAAGTTCAACAATAATTGAATTAGACGTAGGCTTAATTCTCGATGTTGTAAATTAAGCTACAAGGTTGACTCTTCTAATTGTGTCTCTTAACTGTAGAATGTCTAAATTAAATAAAACTAGGCCTACAGCCAAATAGAGTGGATTGTTGATTTGATTTTGGCTTGGCTTATGATTATAGACCTAACATTTATTTTGGTGTATGTAGAATATCTATTGTAGCAGAGAATCAAAAATCATTGAAGATCACATAATGATGTTATGTGTACACAGAAATGTATAGGTTGAGAAGACGACGTACTCGTAGTGAGTAACTCTTTTCAACCCTTTGGGCATTCAAATCCTCTTAACACCATTGGTTGTTGGTAAACCATCCTGGAAGCATTGACGCAAAATATCCTAGCCAATCTTTTGCATCTTGTGTACCGTTGAGTCTCGATTATCCTACTGAAACCCACCAAGGCAAGATCAGGGTGCAAAAAATAAGCCATGGAAAGTATTTGAAAACTGTCGTTAAAAACTATTTATAAACATAAACAATTTAAAAATTATTTGTTTGATAATTAGCCCTATCACTCTTAAAACTTGATCATTTTAAAAGTCATAATCATTTATAAATAATCAACAACAAAGTTAAAACACCGATACTAAAACAGTAAAATATTAAGATAAAACTATTCACAACCACTCGCCAAACTTTCTTCATTAGCACTAAGCCGCGAGGTAGGCAGCAGGAAGGAATGCAGGTATGAGGATCTGATGATGCAACACATCGGTGGACTGTGATGTATTTTTAATCCAATTTGATACCTACTGTATTAAGCATGCAAAAACGAAGGGAAAATATAGTTGAGCGTAGTGTGTGAATTTAAGCCAAATGCGTATCTTTCGAGTTTGTTCAGGTTCTACGTACAGTGTTGACTCCATGCACCCTCTACAGTGTACATTTATACTACATGTACGCTCATTTAAATACAGTTGTACGCTCTTACAGTAGGCTACCGTACTTGTATGTCGACAACTAACTTTGGTTAGCTAAAATTTCAAGTTGGATAATCAAGACTTAACTGTTATTCTAGGCTAAAGATTTTGGTGTTGTCTAAGTTTTAGAGAAATGGTGGTGGTAGGCATGTTTTAACACATTAATTAAATTATTTTGGTTTTGGTGAAGGCTTAGTAGCATAGAAAAGGTTATTTGTAGTATTGAAATATTATTAAATTGGCAGGTAATTCTTTTGACTGTTGATAGAACTAGACATTCCATCCCCCCGGAAGTTTCCATAAATTTATTGAATCAGATATGTACTATTTGGAAATTTTCAACTTGCACCGGGAAAACCTGGTTTAGTCTGCGGTGACGGGGAAATTACGATTGACATCCGTAGATAAGGTAAGATCGAGAACGTCTTCCGCGGTCACAGTAAGATTGAGAACGTCTTCAGTAGTCACAGCAAGTTCGAGAACATATTCCGCGAAACCATAAATATCTTCCACGGTCACGGCAAACTTGAAAACATCTTCAGTAGTTGTGGCAAAATCTAGAGAATCTTTGGAAGTTAAAAACTTCTTCCGTGGTCATGGGACATCATTGTATCCCACGATCACAGTTAAATCGTCAATTTTCGTTCGAGCATCTTCGTACAAACGCTCTCCGTGGTCGCAGGAATTTGTGCTCCGTTCGACTCAACACGATCCAAGCTTGGCCCGACAATAATTTTCTGTCCGTACGGATGTCTCGTGCCAACTGTTGGTCTGACCAGATTCGAAAATGGGCCCAAAACATGCCTCATTTGGAAGTTCGACAGGCAAACCAACACCTACATTTCATTACACATACATCATGCATAAAACTTACTGTATATGGGGATATGTGATGAGCTGAGAAAAATTAGCTAAATTGATACATATTTTTCTAGGAAACCTCGAAAAGCTGCCTCTAGCTATTAGCATTGACTTGACTTTATATCTACACGTAGATATAAAGTCAACGCTATTTAGTTAATTTGTATAACATTGCTGACTACAATATTTAGTATCTTTTTAAAGTGAGTTTTTTTGCTTCCAGAGATTGGAGTTGGACTCGCTGGTTTTGGAGTATTTTTCCTATTCCTAGGAGTTATTTTGCTCTTTGATCGTGGCCTCCTAGCTATTGGCAATGTAAGTTTTTGAGAACCAAACGCAAAACTTTGTGAATGTTATTTCTTAAAAATAATTAGCCTAATTTTCCTTATTTGCTCACAGTGGGCTACTAATTAATATTAGTTCTAGCACCTCAGTTCAAAAAAACCACTCTTGTTATTAATTTACATTGTTTTTTTCCAGATTCTATTTGTTGCTGGCTTAGCAGCAGTTATTGGTTTCGAACGGACATTCAGGTTTTTCTTTCAGAGGCACAAAACAAGAGCATCCATTGCATTTTTTGGAGGGATTGTAATAATTCTGTATGGGTGGGCCTTTGTTGGCACACTCCTAGAGCTGTATGGATTTGTGCTATTATTTAGGTAGGTTTATTTACTCTAATTGTAAGAATAACCTTATGTCATTAATTGATCCACTTAGGTTTAAGTTAACAGTATCAGCAAATTGACTCATACTTTCTTCCTTTAGCTTGTCAACAACCTTTATCGCGGGTAAGCTGGGGGAGTAGCTACGATATTTTAGGGGAAAGTTAAAGCTGCAATAACTTTTAAACCATGATTCTTACAATTATGAGGGTGGTACCATTTATTTAGAATCATAAGGACCATAATATTTAAAAATTTTAACTAAAATCGATCTCAGAGCCATTTATAAAGAATCAGATTTTTCCGTTATTTTATGGGATAATCACATAATTTACAAAACGTTTTAACGCTAATTTTGATAGCAATTTTTGTAAAATTAGATTTTTCCCTTATTGAATGGGTTTTTTGTAGAAAAATCACTCTTAAAAATAAAAATTTGAAAAAATTAAAACTTCTGGAGATACTATGGATATAGTACCCACATACCAAATTTCTTTAAAAGCCAGAATAGACAGGTGTGATCTGTAGCTCTGTACCTACACATCCACACATGCAGACAGATGTATCTGTATTGGGTTTAGACGGATCTATCCGCCCAAAACTCAAAAATGTTTACGAAAACAATACTTTCTATACATAAGGGGAGAAAGTAAAAAAAACCTGGAGATACCATGGATTAGTAGCCACATACCAAATGTCATCAATGCTGGACAACAGGTGTAGTCTGCAGCTCTGTACACATCCACACGCACACATACAGACACATACATCACTTTGAAAACCACTCTTTTGGTTTTAGAGGGACTCAAAACAGATATTTCCATCCAAAACTCCCCCAAAGCAGAATGGTTCCTACGTGTCTGCAACGGCCTGTGAAAACCTCAAAATGTGTCCGCAAGCGCTAAAACTAAAAAGCTAAATAATGACTTATATACCGGTATATATATATATATTGACTCTTTAGGGCTACTAGTAATATAGTTAAATAAAATAAGTAAATTTCAATAACTTGTATAGCCTACTTTTAAAACAAAAAACTAAAAAACTATTAAGGGGTAGGCATAATCAGGTTATTTAAATTTACTTTTTTTTAAATACGTATATATATACACATACCTTAACAAGTGTTAACAAGGTCTTCAGAAGTAAAACTTTAAATGTACTATAGTTTCTTTATATAAACACACTAGGGATGGACGGGATTGAAATTTTAGTTCGGTACGGGACGGGACGGGATTTTTATTTCCTTCCCGATTTTTGGGACGGGATGGGACAGGATTTTTTTCTGTGCATAAAAAAGTACTGTATTGCAGTTACCAAAAAAGACATACGAAATCAATTTTTACCATTTGTGGCACTGATCTATAAAAACCAAAAAATGGGTAACAATTTACAGGTACCTATAGAAACTTGTGACTCGCGGGTCACGGGGTGATCTTCTGTAGAACTCACGGTCACGGGGCGATCGTCGTCATGACTCGCAGTCACGGCGCGATCGTCGGTATGACTCCGCGGTCACGGGGTTATCGTCGGTATGACTCCACGGTCACGGTGCGATCGTCGTCATGACTCGCGGTCACGGCGCGATCGTCGGTATGACTCGCGGTCACGGCTCGATCGTCAGCATGACTCCGCCATCACGGCATGATCGTCAGTATGACTCCGCGGTCACGGCGCGATCGTCGGTAGGACTCTGCTGTCACGGCGTGATCGTCGGTATGACTCGTGGTCACAGCGTGATCGTCGGTATGACTCGTGGTCACAGCGTGATCGTCGGTAGGACTTCGCGGTCACGGCGCGATCGTCGTTATGACTCTGCGGTCACGGCGTGACTGTCGGTATGACTCCGCGGTCACAGCCCGATCGTCGTTATGACTCGCGGTCACGGTACGATCGTCGGTCCAATAATCGCGGCCACGGCGCGATCGTCGTTATGACTCCGTAAATGTGTCCGCAGGCCCGCGTTTCTCGGCGTTTCGTGTCCGCGACAATGTCGCAGCGTCGCTCGTTGTTCTGCTTTGGGGCAAAACTCAAACTAAAAAAATTGACAAAAAAAATACTTTCTCCATAATTATACTATAGTATTTGTAAGGGAGGAAAGTAAAAAAACCTAATTCTAAATAAATTCAAGGTATAATCAAGCCTGTGACCTCAAAAATACCAAGCTAAAAATAGAGAAAATCACTGAAGGTCTCACAGAAATTCTGGGGACTGTAGCCTGTATACACGGCTACTGAAAAATAGGTTGCCTATGACGCGTGAATTACGTCACGTGCCGATCTGGACGGTGCTGCTTTTAATTCACACAGCTGCCACCTGTCAAATTTGTTGTTGGTTGTTTATTTATTTATTTTTAAACAGTTAAACAATTTTTTTTATGAATACAATATTTCTGTATGACAACTAAATACAATTTGTGTACGTTCAGTGTGATTAAGTACTTTTTATTCTCGTTTTATTTACTCTGTTTTAGAGAATTTCCCATTTAGGGAATAAGCTATTAGCTCATGAATGGGCAGGTGACGCCATACACCTGTCTTCGGCAACCTCTTTTTCAGTAGCCCTGGTCTGTATGTATTGTTAAACTATGATGTCCCCTTTTAGTCGAGGCGCTGAGGGGATTTGAGCATGCATAAAAGTGTAACGAAATTTGACTTTTGATTGTTGCTATAGGTACCTAGTAGATGAAGAAAATCGATGTTGTCGCATTTCTAGGTGGTTAATAACATGGGGGGAGGGGGTGAAGTTGGGGGGCCGCCCGGGGGGCCGCCGCGCACAAAATAGCTTATATCTCAAGAATCAAAAGTCATATGAATACGTTAGACATGTCAAACTGTGCAGAAAAATGCATTCTACAAAGAGATTATGTAGTTGTTTCACAGAAATTGACTAGAAGTTACTAAAAATCATATTTTTTAAATTTACGATAAGTATAATCAGGAGTATAATGGTTTTTGTTGTTGTTTAGAACCACTAATTTTTTAATTGACAACTTTTGAGAGTAGTACACAATAGGTAAATAGTACTTCTGTATAATGAAACTATTGCGGTACATAACTTAACAGCTATACAATCCTCAGATCCAATAAACATAACACAAACAAAGGCGCAAAACGCGTCGCGGTCATTGTTCCTGCTGCCGTAACTATTAATGGTGAGTACAGTTCAAGCTGAGACTTATATTATACTTTTAGAAAGTTTGAGATTCTGAGGATTCATTTTCATATATATATATATATGCAATAGTATTGAGCGACTATTATGTAGCGAGAAATATAGTTTGTAAAAGAAGAGAGTTCAAAATACATTTTGGTGGTTGAACATTTCCATCACCTGACCAGGCTGCACAATTGGTGCAATAGCTGTTTCGGCGAACGCGTTAAGGTAGTGTAAACGATACGAGTAGAAAATGTTAAATACAAGCCTTGGCGAGTGCCTTAAAACGTCTACGAGTGTCGTTAACACTGTTTACGCGAGTTGTGTGCACTAATTAACCTGCGACAGTATATTAATTACCAAAAACCACTACTCAAAACTTAAAAAGAGAGGTTATTTTTTTCTTTACCCCTCATTGTCTCTGACAGTAATGCAACGAATCATCGCACCAATCGTTAACAATTATCCCTCCGAGTGTCACGTGTTTTGGCCTTAATGTCAGCCTATTTTTTGCTCATTTGCAAGATTTTATTAAAACTGATCTGAGAAGCTTAAAAACAATGTTAATTATACTGTTCTATATACCATTTTGTTTGGAAAATCTTGGGCTTCAATATTATATATAAAACATAAGGAAGATTTAAAAAAAAAAAATTTTTAGGTAAAAAAAAATGTATAATTTTGAAAATTAAAAAAAAAATAAGTTTGCGCTCAATGAAATTGTATAAATTATAGGCCTATAAATATTTGAAAATAGCCACTTTGTTCTAAATTTTATGAGGATTACAAATATATAATAATATAAGGAAGTAGATTTGCAAATAAATAAGTTATGGGCAAAAAACAGATTTCAGTACATAGCGTTTAGCTAAGAATGCATAGCCCAACCATAGCTAGGAATCTGGCTGATAATTTACATCAATATCACTACCTACTTCTTCAGGATCATCAACCAGCACTTCAAAACCACTTAAATCTTCTTATAATGCACCACGTATATCACTACTTTTGATTTTTAACACTAAAACAATGATAAATGTAATAAAACACATCAGTCATCGGTCCGAGGGTAACCTAGCTGTTTACAAATACACGCACGTCAGCTCAGTCAGCTGTCTGCTACAATATTTTCGGAACTAAAATGAATAGTGCTTAGAGACAGACCTCTGGAGAAAGCTTAGAATATTACGGAAAGAACGATACCTAACTCAATCCCGTACAGTCCGATTCAGTTAGTCATAGAGCCTTCGCCGTAAACAGTGTTCGCGAGTCGCTGTAGCGACGCACGACACTATACAAAGTGCGTTACGCGTCGCTGCAGCGACGCATGACACTCGGAGGGTTAAATTGGCCTGAACGGCTGATTAGTTGAAGTTCGAAGCATTATAATTTTACTTCTTCTCTCTCAATCCTTGGTCCTATCTGGGTACCAGTGGTGGTTATATTTTGGCCCTTTTGTAGTGGTACCATATATTTCACCAGAGAACAGTTACATGCCCATATAAGTAGATATCTATTTCTATTATATATTATGTTTCAGTGATAAATGTAGAATATAAAAATACTAGCTGACCCGGCGAACTTTGTATCGCCTAAGTTATAGGTTTCCCCTAAGACAGACCGATGGAAAGAAAGTACCGTTACGTTTAATTTTCAAGATGATCTCGTTCGCATCGCTCAATCACGTCCTGGTTGAAGTTCGTTCGCTACGCTCACTCACCTTTAGGTTGGAGCTCGTTCGCTGCGCTCACTTGCCTTCAGGTTAGCTCGTTCGCTACGCTCACTCGCCTCCAGGTTGAAGTTCGTTCGCTACGCTCACTCACCTTTTGATTGCAAATTAGCTGTTGTCATAAATGTAAAAGAAATAATAGTGCTGCACCCTGTTGGTAACCCTTGTAACTTTAATGCTATTTAACATCATAGAACAGAACCAACTTGTTTAATTGAAACAGCTGTTAAGATTCATTAATTCCATTTCTCATAAGGTTAACATGGGAAACTCCAAAGCCACTGGGGCGGAGCCCTTTTAAGAATTTCGAAACGGGAAATAGTTTACTTCCTATTCGCATACCTACAGAATTTACACACCAAATTTTATAACGATCGGTGAAGTCGTTCCGGAGGAGTTTGCAGACAAACACTGTGACACGAGAATTTTATATATTAGATATATTTTTCAGCAATGCTTTTAGGCGTAGTAGCAAGAGGTTTGCAAATTTTCGGATTATGCAAATTAGAAATGTCTAAATCAACCCGCAAAAATCATAAAAATACTGTTTTTTCCATATTATTTAAATGTTATGGTTGTGTAAAATATGATTCATTACGTAGAAATATCAATGTTTTTTTTTTTTTTATACGCATACAAATAAAATTATAAAAAAACTACAAAACTATTTTAATTACAAAATGTTATTTAATTGTTGTATTAGAAATAAATTTATTGCATCAACAGTAAATAAATATTGTACTGCTGTAACAATTCAGTATTTTCAAAAAAAATTTTCAATAGAATAATTTAATTTTTACCATATGTTTTTTTATTTTTATCAATATGTTAATCCATCTCCCATTATCAAACCTTGTATAATATATGGCCAAACAGACCAATAGGTAATTGATTCAATACAATATAATATAGAACATTTTCAAATAACCTTATTTCATGTAAATATAATAGTCTATAACTTTTTGTAACAAAATTGCTTCAAATTCGATATAATTTTACTTAAATAACTTGTCAAAATTCAAATTTAGTTCTATAGCAAATGAAAATTGTTATAATATATGTGTGAACAGTGGCCTACAATTTTACGTGATAAAGTCAGCATTGACATATGTGAATGCAACAATGCATCAAACCTACCTCACTTCCATGAGTGCTGAGCTAGTATGAAGATATAAATTGTAAACTGCATATTTTAATATAAAAATTTATAAAAAAGTGCATATATTTGGAATAAATTAGTGAAATTTGATTAAAGAAAATCCGTCCTTGTTACAAACATTAATAACTATACAACATCAAGATATTTAACTGTGAAGAAGACATCAATTTTAGTAAAATCACTCCAGTAGACATTTTCTTTCCTTGGATCGAAGCCATTAGAACATTTTTAAGCCTAACTTTTGAACTTTGGACCATAATTTAAAAGTCAAGAAACAAATAGAAGCTTATTCAGAACATTAATTAATTCATCCTATCAGAAAATAATTCGAACATAATTTTTATTTTAAAACAAAATTTAATTAGGCTATATATAATCACAAGATTAAATTCAAACGCCGCTCGATCACCCCACCTGAGATAAAGATCCATGCAATATAACCCCTCAACATAAATTAGAACTATTGTAATAGGACTAGCCTAAAGCTTAAATTAGTAAATTCATTTGCCATTTGCCACCCTTTGTAAACTTTTATTGTAAACCCTTAGTTTCTTTTCTTTGACCATCAATTTTGCATTTTAATGAAATAAATTTAATTTTAGGTACTGTACAAGGAGTTTCCATTGTATTCCTAGCTTACACTGGTTACACTGCATAATTTAAGAGTAAAAGCTCTTTCTAAAAATATATAGTTAAATGTAGTTGAAATCGAAATTTCCTGAGTAATTTACGTCAGAATGTGAAATGTTAACATTTTTTTACGAAGACATAATTTTTGTGACCTTTTCAAAACTACAATAAAATTGTTATAACCAACCTCAGATAGATGGAAACGATCCACCACCAAAATATATTTTGAACTCTCTTCTTTTACAAACTATATTTCTCGCTACATAATAGTCGCTCAATACTATTGCATATATATATATATGAAAATGAATCCTCAGAATCTCAATCTTTCTAAAAGTATAATATAAGTCTCAGCTTGAACTGTACTCGCCATTAATAGTTACGGCAGCAGGAACAATGACCGCGACGCGTTTTGCGCCTTTGTTTGTGTTATGTTTATGTATAGCTGTTAAGTTATGTACCGCAATAGTTTCATTATACAGAAGTACTATTTACCTATTGTGTACTACTCTCAAAAGTTGTCAATTAAAAAATTAGTGGTTCTAAACAACAACAAAAACCATTATACTCCTGATTATACTTATCGTAAATTTAAAAAATATGATTTTTAGTAACTTCTAGTCAATTTCTGTGAAACAACTACATAATCTATTTGTAGAATGCATTTTTCTGCACAGTTTGACATGTCTAACGTATTCATATGACTTTTGGTTCTCGAGATATAAGCTATGTTGTGCGCGGCGGCCCGCCGGGCGTCCCCCCAACTTCACCCCCTCCCCCCATGTTATTAACCACCTAGAAATGCGACAACATCAATTTTCTTCATATACTAGGTACCCATAGCAACAATCAAAAGTCAAATTTCGTTAGACTTTTATGCATGCTCAAACCCCCTCAGTGCCTGGACTATTTAGAGGATGGTCTACAAGAAAACAATTTTTCTTTCTCTATTTTATTTTATACCCTAACAAATTTGTATGGCCACTTTTCTTGTCCATGCAAGCATTTAACAATTTGCATTAACATTGGCTAATCTGCTTTGTATTAATATTTAACCTTTTAAGTCTAGGGGAGTTCAATGTAAAGGGCTTGCTGGGGACCGTAGCTTTGATTTGCCTGCACAGTTCGGTCCGTTTAGCACTTGGACTGAGTCAAATTAGTGGCAAGCTTATCACTTTTGTAGCTATTAAACAAAATCCAATGTCGGCTTTGCTATTGAGGTAGGTTTTCTGTCTGTATGAGTGTAACACTTCTAACACTTGGCTTGAAGTCAATGTTGTAAGTCGTAACCTATAGAGTGTCTTTCAAAGAGCAATCTTAAATACCCTTAAGCTTTGTTTAAACTATGTTGCGAATCGAGATTACTTATAGCAAGTTTTATAACAATTTCTATAAAATATTACATGGTGAAAGCTGAAAGTCAGATCAAAATTGCTAATTTAATGTTGTGTAACTACTTTTACCTTTAACTCATTTATACTTTTATCAATTTATCTTGTAGGATTTGCTACAGGTTCTTTCATGGTTTACATGCTATTCTTCTGGTTGATAATATTAAGATATGTACCGGTATTGGTGTTAGGGGTTAGTCTAACATGTGTGTAGGTAGTACTAATTAAATTGATCTAATTACTAGGTATGTTAAACCAAGTTGGTAAAAAAGTGTACAATAATAAATAATAATAGATCTAAGAAGACTTATTTCCCTCATTAGGTTGTTCGTCTGACAGTGATGTATGTTTTTTTTATCTTTTCATAGACAATTTACATTGTGTACCTGTTATTTATTTTCTAAGCTTTATTTTTTTTAATTCCTTATGCAAAATCTGAGCCTACTGATAAGCTACAAGGTTTTGTTAGGTACACATAGCTGGCTCTAGAGTTAATTTTGTGTAAAGATTGATATTGGTATTGTTGTCGGCTAAAGTAGTTTTGGAACATTACTTATAGTCTACTTAACATTCCAAGAAAAACTGCTTAAATACTACAAAGGCTTGTATGCCCTCAAACTAACTAATGAGTCAATTTTTACAATTACAACCAAATAAAACTTGTATCTTCTAGTCCAGAATGAAATTATTTGCTGTAAAAGTGGACAGACTGTGATTAAATCTTTCTCATTGAGTTTTATAAATTTGAATTTAAATTTTAGGTAAGCTGTAACCAAAGAAGCCTGGACTTGTGGTCCTTTGAGTTGTGATTTTCATTGGTAATTTAAATTGACAAATTTTATTTCTTTCAGTGGGTTCTTCCCAGTTGCAATAAACTTTTTAAGAAGAGTTCCAGTCCTTGGAACCTTTCTCAATCTACCAGGAATCAGTATGGTAAGATGGTTTACTGTATATTGTATTAAAATGTTGACCTGTAGGGTATGATTTACAATAACTAGGCTAAATAAGTCACGGCCTAGGGTGGCAAACATGTTTGTAAGCATTTTGTACTAAAGTCGGGACCGCGAAAGTTTGCAGTTGGTGGCAGCCAATCACAAGACAAGGCTCGTGCGACCTTGCCACATCACCTGTTGACAACACTAATTAAAATATACTAAGCAATATTTTCAAATCAGCTGATATTATTAGATTTGGCAACAGGGCATGGTTCTCATTGGTTCATACAAAACCATATGATAAACAGGCATCTTAAATAGAATCAGTACTACAGCTTGTGATAGTAAGAGAGCAGGTGCCAGCAATTGTACGATTCTTTTAAGGATTTTTGTATTTTCCCAACAAAATATTCTTAAAATACCCCCGCCGCAGCAAACCTGCAGACTAAGCGAATTTCCATTTGACTGATTGGATTTACACTGAAATGTCTACTTAAAAATATAACATTTATTCCCGATTTAAATAGAATTAGTTTAACAAGTACTTAGGTTTGCTGCATCAGGGAGGGTAAAACTGTTTTTTTGTAAAATGTTAATAGTTAGTAAGAAATAAAAACATTTTCCAAATTTGATCAAAATATGTTCATAAACAAGCAAACTACAACAGTTTACTCATTCTCCATAAGAATAACATGGGAATTTTAAATTTACAATTTTTTGGAATTTTCTTCGTAACCATTAGGCGCATAATAACGCTTCAATATACTAAATTATTTGTTTTTTGAAGCTCTACAAAATGGTTTGGAAATAAATTGCTAAATTTTATGTTTTTTGGGTCAAAAATGGGAAAAACCTATTTTTACCCCATAAAACCCCCGTAAACACCCGTTCCCATGGTCCGATCATGCTGGATCGCGAACTCGTTCGAATAAACGTAGGTTTAAACGTTTGTACCAAATTTCATCAAAATCGGATCGTTTTTGCTCGAGTTATCGTGCTAACGGACATATATATATATATATGTATATATATAAATATATGAATTTGAACGGATGGTGTTTTTGGCCTCTAGGGACCTCAAAACGAAAAAAAAAATCGGTCCCGCATCCAGGTCTTACCATGAGTACTACGGTAATAGCTTATTCCCTATATGGGAAATTCGCTAAAATCAGATGAGTTAAAATGTACTTCTTCGCCGCTGCCGCCTCATCTTCCTTCTGGTAGGACTGCAAAAGTTCCGGACTGCATCTTCTGTGTTAACCGCAATGTAACTGTTTAAGATTATTAGTTGATTCATTCAATAGGTAAAGTTTCACAAATATTTCATTTATCCTAACAGCAAAATTTACTAAAGACTATCACATAGTCTCAGGCATTTTGCTTCTTCACTCCTAGTCTTGTAAAAGATGAAAAAGGGTATACTAAAGTCGACCAAGTGACAACAATGCAATAAATCTGGTCTGCTGTTTAGTCATCTATACCAACTGTACAAAGCTAACAGTTTCCATGTTACAATAGGTGTTAATTACATTTTGCCATTGTGCTTTCATTGCTCAGTACCAACTGCATTTTTATTATAGTAACTCATTAGTTGTACACTCATTAGTTGTCATTACTAACTAACTTGTGTTGTATTACAAATGCCTAATGTAAAATAGTGTTATATAAATATTTTATAAGGATTTTATTTATATTTTAAAAACTGTATTATGTTTCAAAGAAGGTATTTCTGTGTGTGAAGGAAATGAATGAATGTATGAAATGATTGAAAACGGTGCTTTATTTAACAAAAAGTAGTTACAATCCTTGGCTTCCAGGAAGCCCCGTTTATTAACACTCGATTAATCAATCAATCAATTTCTCTATTGAGACTTTTTAAGAAATACTATAGGGTCATTTACAGATTGAAATTTGAATTTTCATCTTGCTTAAAAATATTGATCGAAGAATTCCTTTGGTGAGTAGTACGGTTGATCCATTAGCCATCTTTAGGTTCCCTCTTCAGGTCTTGATTTCTTAGGATCTTAAAGTAGTTGGACAGGCTATTGAGTATCTTACACCCCATGTAGGAAGGCTTCCAGCTGTATTGAGTTGTATGGTAACCCAGGAGAAGGTAGTATAGCTCATTGAGAGTTTTAGGAGTGAGTCCACTTGTGAGTTCACTCTGGTCTGTATAGTTAATCACAGCAAAAATGTATAGGCCTAGTGATATTACAGTCATGATTTTCAGTGATTTATTGGCTTTCTGCAAAACTGGGTACAGCTAGTCTTAAGGCTATTATCCTGGAGCCGTAGTATCCTTGTATGGTTCTGTTCAGTGGTTCCACCCCAGACCATCAATCCACATTTTATGTAGAACTCTACTCTACTAAGCATAGGATGTAGTCTTAGTCGCTCCTTTTCCTTCTATCCATTTAATTATACACATTACGTAAATTCCAGATCCTAGCTTTTTGCTCAGGCTATCCCTTTGTTATGTACAAGAGAGTTTAGCATCAATGGTCATGCCTAGTAATTTGGACTGTTCTTTGACAGTGTTTTTAGTACCTAGCTTAAGTTATCTGCTCCTGTCTTCTGGTAAAATTTATTTTTTATAGTTTTTGCTGGATTTATTGGCAAGGTTTTTAAGTTGTTTTGTAGACAGCAAGTTGATGCTTTATTGGTTAGTTCAGTAATGTCCGTGTAGAGTCCAAGAGTTGTATCATTCTTAATAGTCAAGGTTTTATCACCAGGGTACATGATCGGTTTGGCATTCTCATTATCAATGTATCAAGTTGTGAAATCATTAGTGAAAAGTATAAATAGAGGTATATCCACTATCCAGAACCGAACCCTGAGGAACTCCAGTGGTGGTTGTTTTTAGGTTGGATCCCAACTGTAATGGTTAATAGATTACTATGGTTCATAGTCTACATGGTTGGCAGATATCTTTTTTTCATAGTATATATTTTCCCTTAAGCCACGTTTGCACGAGGCGAGTAGACGAGCAGGTTCCTTGCCTCAGATAACTACATACACATAAAAGCAATATATACAAACATACATTAAAAGCAAGTAACCTGCCCGCTCTACTGGCATTGTGTAACACTGCTTTAGAACTATGAAAACCATTTTAGACTAAAACTATAAATAAAGAAAATAAAAAATCTGAACTCTAATTTTTTATTTAAAGTGTATGAAACTAACAATAAAAATAGTTGGATTAGAGATAAACATAACAATGTGATAGAATGTATTGTATTGCTACAAGCTTAGTATACTAGTTACTTTCAATCCTTTACTTTCTCTGTTTTGCAATGTCAATGAAGGGTAAGAGTCAGCTGTATAACTCTATAGTGTTCTGTTGTAGGTAGTTGATCGTCTGGCTGGTGACTCAGGCCGCACGACTGTGTGACAGTGGTAGTGCTGCCATTTGGCGGTCCGAGGCGAGAATCGCTCAAACTTCCCCATTCCTCCCACACTCACCAGACTATGTGTTAATATGAATGTTCTGATTCCATCACCGTTTTATTGTGATGTGTTGTATATCTTTTTGTTATTCTAGTTGTAATATAATCCAATTGTTTGGACAATTCTAGTTTATTTATCTCAAAACCTCTCAAAAGCTGTATTTGAAAATTTCATTCTATTGAACGCTGTAAAAATGTAATGAACTTGTTTAACAAGATGTGGTATATATCAATGTTAAATATAAAGTACTCATTTTAAAATCTGTTTTATAATATCGTAATAGGTTTTCTACCATAACCATTTGTTTTAAATACACCTATGTTTACGAAACAGATGTTTTGTTTCCCTTTGGTAAAATTTGATTCATTAATACGACGGTGTATAAAGTAAAGTACAAGCTAAGATTTACGAAAATCATTGATTTGAATTCTATCATATACATATATGATTTTGCTTGACCTAAAATATTACTTCTCCTATCCGAAGCAATACTTTGCTTGTACCAAACAAACTTTTTCCTGACCCAAATGAATTTAGTTTCCGTTAAGTTCAACAGCAGTACTAATGTATGTATTCTTTTATCACAGGAAATATTGTTCAAACAGCTGACTTTAAAATCAATTGCAACTATTATTAGGCTACTAGGGAACCCGTGCGGCTCAATAACGAGCCGCATAGTATGAAACAACGTCGAGGAAAGCTTTGTGCTTAAATTAGAGTAACTGCATCAGCTGTATTATTCTTAGAGTTATTATAAAACTTGTTAAAATTTATTTTTAATATCTCTAATTGCATCGTGATCATTCACATAAATATCTGCTCTTAGTTTGTTTTACATGATTACTTTCTAATGAATGCCAAACGCTCTCCTTCAATTCGAATGAACATGTCTAAAATATGTTACAACAAAGTTTTTCCAGCATGGAGAACTGAAGACATTGTTGCCTCACTGATAATCTGTGTGAAGTAAATTCAAGTTGGGTCATTCTATTTCTTTTTTAAATCTTTATATCTTAGTATTATTATTTGCCTCTCTTGAATCAGAAAAATAAACTTGACCGTAGCGACTGCAATTCCGAGGGTGTTATTCCAATTCTGTAATGAATGTGGCCTATGAATGCATAGGCTTACACATAAGGCCATTATCTTGTTTTGGTCTAATATTGCGACTAACACTTACCAGTTACCTTAGCGATCAACCTGTACACATTTCTTGCGTGTATTAATTTGATCTGACATTAGGCAGGTTTACTTTAGCACCATGTGTATATTCTTCAGAATGTATTTTTTCACTTTCATAATAAGCTGCTTAGCAGAACTGGCAAATAATATTATTTATCCCACCAAGTGAGTGTGTATCTGGATTCCTGACTGTTGGACGAGGCCTCTCTTATTCTAATCTCATCCTCATACGCATACGATCTCTTATTAATTTTTTCCTCCTCCTGTTTTTAATATTTCTTCTTTGAACTCGAGGCATTTTCTGTTCTAACAAAACTTATTAGCCGTTTACATTGGTCTATAACCTCCTGAATATGAAGAACATCAATATTTGCTCCCAAAAAAGCTACTGAGTTTCTTTTTATCAACAGCTGTTTTTTTGTTTTTCAATTTGTTTTGTATAATTTTTATGGGAAAAAGTCAACCTTTGAGTGTGCCTTGCACCCTAAGGGCGATAATTTTTAAATTCTAAAACCTCATTACAAAAACTACAAATTGAGACTTTTGACACCTCTAACGTTGGATAGATTGATAGATAGATGGATTGCAACTTTTAACAGAAGGACTAGACTATAAAATTATTTTGTGTTATTTAAGCTTTATGTGATTATTTTTGCATTTTGATGGAAAGTGTAGTAAGTATCGTTCACTACCAGTCTTGAAAGTCCCATTTCAAGCCTCAATAGTTATTGTCCATTCTTGGCTTCGCGTCTATTTTAAACCACTACCACTACCTTGCCTCTAAAAGGATCACTCTCAGCAGGACTTGTAATGAAATAAATAGTAGTATTCCAAAAAAATGTGCCCAAAAGACTTCCACTTTAGAATAAGTTATAAACAAATTTAGTAAGCTATGTCAATATTTCTTATTCAAGTAAAACACAATTATTTTTGTGTTATTTTTACATTTATACTGGTTGTCCCATAATAGCCCCACTGGTTAATTTTTAAACGGCTGCATTATATTCAAACGATCTTCAATACACAATAGTAGGGTAATGTAAGTACTTTTTGGGGGTATTTTGAAATTTACTCTCCTCAAATAGGTGTTGCTGGGGGTAACTTATTTTTTTTTTAAATAGCAACCCCTATCAAGTAAGTAGCACATCATTTTAAAGCAGTTAGTTACAAATAATATTGGCGAAACCAGAGGTATTTATCTCAACCCATTACAGAATGACAGCCATTTTAGCGAATTTTCCTATAGGGAAGTAGCTATTACCGTAGTTGGCACGGTAGGACCTAGGTCCGGGACCGGTTTACTTTTTCATTTTGTTGTCCCCAGAGGCCAAAATGCCATTAGTTTAAATTTTTATATGTGTATAGAATGTGGCTGCCATTCTGTAATGGGTTGAGATGGCTTTTGCAGATGTTCTTTTTAACTAATCACCTTTAAAATTATGTGCTACTTGATAGGGGTTGCTATTTAAAAAAATTAAGTAGCCCCCAGCAAGCCATCTGACGAAGCCATAATTTTAATTGTGTTTGGGGGGGGGGTTTGGAATAATAATAAAACATTTTACACTCATAAAATCTTCAATCAACAAAGTTTCCCAGACATATTAAAATTACTGCAGCGCTGCACTTCAAAGGTTTAATATATTGCTCCAGCGAAATAATTAAATCATGATAGAATATGAAAAAACTACCTTAGGCCAGATTTTTTATTGAAAGTGCACATATGAGTTTACTAAGTTACACTATTAAAATATAATGCAATGATTTAAAATAACCAAAAATGATACGGTAACCTGTCAAAGGATATACTTTCAAACTTAATTTATTGAATACTTGTACAAGTCAAGTAAACAATAATCTTAAGTTTGCTGATTTCATTGTGTATACGACCAACGCCATTAGTAATGTAAGAATATCTTCTCGTCTTTCTTTTACAGCTGCTGTCCAACAGCTTCACAGCTGGTGGCCGTAGAATTTGTGAATTTCTGCCTTTCAAATCAGATTTGTTATGGTGCGCAGTCTCGTTTTGTTGCAGTTGTCTGTTGTCTGGAATGAGGTAGTGGAATATTAAAAGAAGCCATAGTGTCGTACTATTTTCATAAATCGATACAATATATCTAAGTACCTTTCTCACGCATTATTTGCAAACCGTGTAAACTGTGTAGCAAAGTGGAAAAAATAATAACTTGTGCTTCGATCATTACAAGGGGTTTCCTAAAGTTACTTGGCTGTCAGAGGTGTCTTTTGTTCCAGTGTGTGCGCCAACTTCGCTAAATTTTTTCTAAATATTTTTATCTTAGCCACAAATATAAGCTATTCAACGAGCAAAATTACGAAACTATTCAGTAAAATTGATTCCAGCATTTTTATCACGAAAGGATCAAGGTAGGTGGGGTGTAATCAGACAGTGATTGTGAATTGTTTGGCTTATTGATTACTGCCTCTAGAAATATAGGTTATCTTGCACACATACCCTTTTCAATGATTGTTATTAAAAATCAGAAAACATTGCCAGTTTAGAATAATAGCTTTGAGACTGAAACAAATCTAGCTTAAGTTGGCAGATTGAGAGGAAAATATATGAAAATTATAGCAGGCCTATTGTTGATAACCTAATTGTTATGTGTAATTTTAAAATATTCAACTTACACATCTCTCTTACAATTACCTCTGATACTTCAGAGCATTGATGCGCTAAAAAGTAAGTTATTGTTCGTTGGTAGTGTACAGTAGACAATAAAGTAAGTTTTCACTTAGGCCTATTTCTTACCCTATATAGCCTATCTGACCGGTGCCTGTTTATGGCAGTTGAGTGTAGCCCAGTTGAGTGTATTATAGTTTCAGTAATTCTTCACAGTAGTCTATATGAATTTTCCTAGAACCAGTTTGTTTCCAGTAACTACTTAGGCGGGCATTACCATACCTTGTTTGACATGACAAGATAGGGCCCTCATTTTAGAATATTGTAGCCTAAATTTGAAATTTGCTAATTAATGATAAAACCACACGATGGTTCCTTTATACACCTACTAGCTGTAACCCGCGGGCTTTGCCGCGTTTAACTTCTTAATTTTCAAGATTATCTCGTTCGCATGGCTCAATCACGTCCTGGTTGAAGTTTGTTCGCTACGCTCACTCACCTTTAGGTTGGAGCTCGTTCGCTACGCTCACTCACCTTTAGGTTGGAGCTCGTTCGCTGCGCTCACTTGCCTTCAGGTTAGCTCGTTCGCTACGCTAACTCGCCTCCAGGTTGAAGTTCGTTCGCTACGCCCACTCACCTTTTGGTTGCAAATTAGCTGTTGTCATAAATGTAAAAGAAATAATAGTGCTGCACCCTGTTGGTAATTTTTGTAACTTTAATGCTATTGAACATCACAGAACAGAACCAACTTGTTTAATTGAAACAGCTGTTAAGATTCAATAATTTCATTTCTCATTAGGTTAACATGGGAAACTCCAGAGCCACTTGGGCGGAGCCCGAAAGGATTTTTGAAATAAGAATATGCCTACCTATATGTTAATCGGGAATGTGAGCTATCATCATGCCAAATTTCAGCCCAATCCGACCAGTACTTTTCACGTTCACTTGTCACAAACATACATCCATCCATACATCCATACATCCAAACTTTCTCATTTATAATATTAGTAGGATTAGTAGGATAACTTAAAATAGTTATGGATGAATTTAACTACGCCTATTAAGCTTCAAGGCTTAAAATCAACACCATATTGCACAAGATGTACCTTAACGCTGCCTAGTCATCCATTTAGTTATGCTTTATTATTTTTGTGAAAATAATGACGTGAACAAAGCCCTTAATTATCTTTACATCACTGCAGAGTCATTGGGGAAGGGTGTTTGTGGCTACCTGTATTATTTTTAAAAACGAAGGAAGAAAGTGCTCAATTAGCCTATATTTCTGAGTCAGAGTGGCCAACA